AAGAATGAAAATGTTGGCAGAAATGTGCACTCGGATTGCTACTCAGACTGTTTCTCATCGTCATCGTCAAGTGCGTTTGACGGTGATGGAACTGATAAGCAGGAATTGTCAAAATTGTGCATTGATATACCATGTCAACGCAATTATAGGTGCAACTGTAATTTATCGTTATTAGAGCGCGGAGCGCCAGAAGGTCAAGAGGATCCAGGCAAGAGTTTGAGGCCTAAGATGGAAATAGAATTGGGAGAGAATGAGGCCCAGGAAGCCTATATTGTCGAAAAGGCATGCGGTAACATTGTTGAAGATCCACCATCCAAGCTGGAAATGCCACAATCATTGACTCCGAAGAAATATGCGAATTCGAATGATTGGTCGGATGCGGATAGTGTAACAACATCCTCCGAGTTGGAGGAACGCAGGAATAGTCGACACTTAGTCTCACCGTCGAAGAAGCGCAATATGACAGCGATACTAACGGGCGAGAATAGTAGTAAACTTTTGGCGCCGCCTTTGCGTCAGGCACCGTCAAAGACGTCGTTACTGAGCAGATTTCTGAAATCGATTACTGAGAGAAAGTTCGAAATTAAGAAGAACAAGAAACCGCCAAAGGCAAATACTTTATATATCAAAGGAATTAAGATGAGCTATGATTCTTTCAAAGATTTTAACGATAATCTCGATAGAGAGATCCAAGAGAACGTGGCTGCCGAGAAACAGGAATTTAGCGGTGAGAAAGTAAGCCTAAAGTTGCGTGAACTTTTCAAGAGACATATCTATCGTGACAAAACGGAGGAGTTATATAAAGTATACAAAGTGCGAAGTTCGTATATGACAAACGGCGAAAGCAAGCCTATGATCGCGTTATTGACGGACAAGACGCTATACTTAACTAGCTCAAAAATGGACCATTCTTACAGTAATCAATTCGTTATTCCTTATAATGAGCTAGATGTTATTATGGTAAGAAATATTTAAATAATTATACTTATATTTCTTGTAACTTATTTATCGTTTTTTATGTACAATCTTATTTACATACTTCTTTATCTTGATGTATTTCGCTAAAATTAATAAACTTAAATTAAATAATTTGTTTTTTATAGATCGGCCCAAATGCACAAAGTATTTTAATTTCCAACGCCGATTGCGAAATGCAATATCTATTCTCCACCGGCAGCTCACAAACTACCTCAGAATTAATCAGTCACTTAGAGATGGCCATGAGACGATCGCCGACGAAACCGAGGCTTCCTGCTGTTAAAGAATTGAATTACGAAGATATGCACATTCTGAGGAATTTAATTCTCACTGACACAGCTGTGCATCCAGTGCGTATATTTAGAGATTATAATAAAGTAATTGTGTTTCTTGAAAAAATTTATAAGCTCTCAAAATAGATTAGAAATAAATATATCAATCGAGAGTCACATTAAAAAAAATTCATTTGTTATCTTATAAATAAGATAACAATAAAATATTTTGATAGCAATGAATTGAAGATAGCAATAAAATATTTTGTATTTTTATTTAGTGGCTATAAGTTCTAAAAAGTTCTAAAAAGAAATATTAGTGTAATATTTATTTCATATTATTTCTCCAATTGCAGACATTTTATATATCGATATCTGTTATATTACAAGATCTATTTTTAATTCTTTTATTATCTTTATAGGATGAGAAAATAGAACATTACAGCCTTATTTATATGGAAGACGAACACATGTCACCGCCTAGTACACCATGTGGACCGATGAAAGAAGGTGATCTGATGTTTCGGCCACATACTTACCAACATTTGCATCCGAATGCACCCACACATCCCTGGGAGGCCGGATATTTTGTACTGAAAGGTGGAGTGGTTTACATGTTCACGGATTCGAATCAGCGGCTTCCCAAACGTGCTATACCGTTAAAAGGCGGCTTATGCCAAGGCTGCAGGAGAATTCCCAATTCTCATCGACCACATACCTTTGAAATACTGTTAAAGCCCAACAAGTCATATCAATTTGCTGCTCCGGACGAATACGTAGCTTCCGAATGGTTACAGAGCTTCGTTCAAAGTGCATCAGGTCTGTTTGATACGGAAAAAAAAGAGCCGTTACCTTGCAGTCTTATCACGACCACGAAACACCTAGTGGCAATGAAAGAGATTCATCCTGGTACGCAGAGAGGCCAAACGCTCTCGTGCGCTTCCATTAAGGATCTAGCAACGTTCAGGGTGCCGTTGCTACAGCAATCGTGGTGTATTTTGGTAAATATGTATTTGTCAAAAATAAAATATATGCATAGAGTTGTTAATTCTATGTTTTGTCGCTAATTGGAATTTTCCAATGAAGTTTATTATCATATATTTATAGGAATTCGCGTGTCGAGAGGTACATGAAAGTAGTGGCGATTGGGTTATATACTTCACAAATTATATTGAGCTTTGTGCTTTTAAAGAGGTCTTGGAAACATTGTGGACCGATGCAAACTTGGTAAGATATAACACAAGCAACATATTATAATTAGAGATCTTATAACTGAATTTATGAACGATTTTATCAAAATTCTACGAGAAAGATATATAGTATATTTCTTTTTTGTAGGATTTTGTCAAAATCGCTCGTGGCTAGTCTTTGTAATTGTAATATTAAATACAAATGCTAATATAATCTCTAAATTTTTAAGGGTGAGTTTCCTATGGCAACACTTCCACCGGAGGATAAATTGCAGCGACGTTGCTCGGATGCCAGCAGAGATTTGGAACACGCTTGGCGGTACTTGCTGCCACCAGCTTTAGAATAAATGGAAAATTTACCGATGGACAATATATACACCGTCATTTGAGAAATTATTTTATCATATTGCCATAAAAGAGACTCATAAAATAAAACATAAAGCAAAACTCTCGTAACAACGCATGCGAATATCTAGGTAACTATGAATTCGAAAAAATTCAAACATTAATATATCGTATACCAAAGAGATATAAATCGCTTATATGACATAATACAAATCTTTGCTTCTGTTGCAAAAATTAAGTGCCATATATCTGTCACTTGGAACTAGAACAATCGGTGTTATTTTGTGGCTTATAAGTAGAATCGCAGATGTCCTTATTTGGACTAATTTATGGCATAATATACGTAATATTTCTAATTTCAAGATACAAATATATGCGCAGCATATTCTCGCTATATTGCGGTGTTGATGAGAGATTGAGCATTACCTTGCATAATAAGTTGCCTCAAACATATAGATACTATTTAGGGAAATCGCAAAATGGTGCATTATCTTTCTTGTAGCGTAAGCCACCATAATAAGCTATTATTAATTTATAATAATATGCAGAGAATGTAATATAATGATAACTGTGAGACATTATTGATTACTATATGAATGTCTATATATTCACATATATTTGAAGAGACGAACCAGTATGCATTTGAATACGCACGATTGATATTAAAGTAGATATTAAAGTAGATATCTCTCATCTAAGATGATATTATAAAATTCAGAATCATTTAAAGCAGCTTTGACAAAGAATAATAATACTTTATAAATTACTTTTGAAATTTATGTATAATTTAACATTCCTACTGCTATTTATAATTATAAATTAATTTTACTTTTAGTATCAAAACTTTCTATGTATCACCTTGTGATATGTAGTCTTAAAATTGTAAAATTTTATTTGTATCTATTAATTTTTTAAATGTACAAGTGCAATACGAGTACAATAATTGTATTATATGCATTATGTATTAATTTAATTTAATATGATGTAATATTAGGTTTATATTAAGTTAGTTCAAATATAGGTTGTATCAACTTATGTTGCATCAAGCATATATTAAAATTTTTTAATAATTATTTTATGAAATAATAGCAAATTAAAGTTACACAAAGATTATATCAAACTGATTATAAATAATTTATGCTTCAAAAATTATTAAGTTTTACATATACTTAATACGACATGAGAGAGAAACAATATATAAGAAAAGCTGTATATGAAAATAAATTTTATTTGTGATATAATAATACTACTATCTATAATATACATTAATATCGTTGGGCATAAGATATTTGTTACGATCTTTTAAGTTATAATCTTATGTTACCAAAGCTACATGAACAGATGCATTCCGAATATTTTTGTGAATAAATATTTGACTTCTAGTGCAGCATTATTTCATGTAGCTTCGTACGTGATTGTGATACACTATTAAGTAATAAATGTCAATGTTGTTAAGTTCATGAGAGATCCTATGATCCAGATTTATGTAAATTAAACAAATAAGTACTGCGCGAAGATGAAATTGGTTTTATATGTTAATGCTGTGTGAAAAGTATGCGGAATTAAATTTTCTACAAGTTACAGCCAGCATGTTTTAAATATTACATCCGTACACCTTTCACACACACAAATTCTGTATCACCGTACACAACCAAGTTATGATGCAAGTTATGATAAATAGAAAATTAATAAAAGTATATAAAGAAAAATTTCATTGAATAATTTTTATTTTTGTTTTCGTCTTTCTACATTTCATATTTGGAAATGTATTATATAATAATATATTTTCAGAAAGAAAGAGAATGAAGCATCTTTAAATTCATAATTTATACAAGTTTCAATAACAGTAGACTTTTTTTTAATCTTATATTTTATTATATACTTTTTTATTTTTATGTGTCATATTCTTAATTCTTTCTAGAGTACATATTTTATGCACTATTTAAGAGATTCTAAAAATTTCCGATAATATAATTTTTATTATTGTAGTTACATAATTCACTAACAGTTTTATTAGATAAAATATTATTTTTAGATCTATACATAATTTATGATGAATAGAAAATTAATAAAAATATATAAAGAAAATTTGATCGAACTATTTATATTTTGTTTTACATCACATACAAACTACTTATATGATTATTGTATATAATTAATTTAAAATGTTTTGAAATGTAAACTATAAGACATGATTAAAAAAATACTACATATATAAACTTATATATTTGTATACTGTATTAGCGATCGAGTATCTCACAAATATATTAACAAACATTTAATAATTTGCATTAACAGAATTGCACCTATACAGGTACAGTATGGCCTCTTGCTCTTTTGGATGTTTTTACCTTTTCTACATCAACATCCGGAAACTGTTCTTTTACAGTTTCCAGATCCAGATTCGGGAATTTTCTGATTAACATTGCAACACGATTTCTGTTACGTCTGAAAGTTTTTTTTTAATGGAAATAAATTGAGAGATATATCATATCGTATGTGTATGTATTAAGCAAATAGCAAAGATTATTTCTACGTACGTTCTTGATTTGCGTTTCTTATTCCACAGTTGCTCTCTATACAAGCGTAGAAACTTGCGAGTTGCATATCCACCGAAGCCAAATAAATGTGTCTTATACCATCTCGTATTTATAAACTTTGGAATAGAATACTGAGCCATTTGATAATAAAACCTTATACCTACAAAGAGATAATAGAGCTAATATTATTTTATTTTCTTTGTCTATGTAATTTTCTATTGTAATTTTTTTAATGAACATTTTTAATTTTAAATATATACATAGAAAGTTATTATATATAAATGATATAGATCTTATACCTAAGCAATTATAAACAAATTTTCCAGGACGCTCTCCTGTCTCCCCTATCTCGAGCAAATGATATGCTCTGTTTCTTTCGCGAACGATTGACTCCAAATTACTCATACTGTCTTGAACTTTGTCCAAACGTTCAGGATTTGGAAAGATCTCATCTGCATTCTTGCAAGCTTCTTCCATAGTCATAAGCATATTACGTTCCTTCAATAAGACAAACCTACAAGTTTAAATTGTAAGTAATAAATCTGTAAGTCACTAGCATCTAAAATTCAACAAACACAACTCAGAATATGCAAGTTTCACCATAATTTGTGGAGATCCGAATTGCTTTTCAATCTCAATTCATCCTTTTTCCAAGATCGACCAACTCGTACCTCATTCTTTCCCCAATTTTTTGGATCATCAAAAAATTCCATTAAATCACGGCGTTCTGATGTAAGATGTATAAATGCACAGTGCAAAGTAGGTGTACTGCATTTATAAAGAAAACATATTAAAAGATAAAAAATCTAAAACCTTCAACTTTCATTCTATTTTTTAACCCTCCGAATGTTAAAATCTGTAATATAATTGCTGAAGTTGAATTTGTGTAAGACTCATTTATGTGAATTAAAAGTTATTAATACAAGAAATCAAAATGACAACTCGTATAAAAAAATATTAAATGGATAGATCCACTATCAGCTCCGGAGAGTTAAAGCAGAACTTAACATCAAGCACATCTATTTGTACCAGTTTTATTTGTGTCACATAAAAATTTCATTTATTATCAACAAATTCATGTTTAACATCAGGTATGAGGTGATATAACCTAACATGATGTGATATAACCTTAATCTCATTTTATGTATGTCAAATGATAAAAAAATCACTTAACAAAAAGTTTTTATATGTTAAAAAAATTAAATATTTACATTAGACGGTGAAAGTATTTTTAATATTTCTTTTAAACCAAGAAAAAACTATAAATGTGTATTGTGGATCAGGGAGCACCGGTAGATAGTACGAAATGTCACAAAATATAAGTGACGCAATTCGAGAGGAAAACAAACCTGCGAAGAAATGCACGTTTAGGAGACTCAATAACACTTGAGGTCAAAGATAAATTTGTGAATAATTTTGTTATGCCATTCATGCTCGTTTTAGTCTGCACAGCCTTCATAAACGCTGCCATTTTTCTCCGACTATCTCTCGGGGGCTCGGGGGCACTCTGCCGACTCTGCAACCTGCGTTCGAAAACCCCCCCAATACCGACTGGAATCCCGATAGAGCCTCTGAAGGAGAAAGTGGCAAACTGCTCTTCCTCCGATTGGACGCGGTCATTGAAACTCTACTCATAGGCGTATTCTTTTGGGCTGAACTTTTGCACCAGTTTATCTTTTTTCCTCTTTTTTCCTCCTAAAGAGAAAAGAAAGTTGAACTGGTGCAAAAGTTTAGTTAAAAAGAACAGGCCTTATGATGCACAATAGCTTCTTCTTTTTCTTCAAAATTAATGACCATGCCGCAAAAATGACGGCGATTCCGACCAGAATCGCAAATAAAATGAAATCAGAATACCGGTCCTCTCGAACCGGTGGGGAAATAATAATGCAATCGAAACAAATAATCTAACGCAGTTGCACAGTCAAAGCCGAAAACGCTTTTCAAAAAATGAGGCGATACAACATCCGAAGTGAAGCAAGACGTGCGTCCTCTCTCACGACACAATACGTATGATAGCCCCTATCACGAAATAATAAAAAGATCAAACTCAAGCGATCAGTCACGAAAAAAATGAACTCGAAACACAGTGTAGGAAAACCTGTGGAAAATCCGACAGATATGATTTTAGTGCCATCGCGCCTTGCGGGAAAAGTTAGAAGTATTGCCTGTCACGTGGTCACAGATCGCACGTATGTGTGTATGTATGGCCTAGTTTCTATCTAGGGTTTAGATCAAAATGTAAGAACCAACCAATTACAGTTGAGCATTCTTCTATCGTTTGACTGTAAGGGCCTGCGCACAATACAAGTATATCAAAGATTAGGAACAGGAATAAATATTAAAATTTCAACCTATCAGATTTATCAAACTTATTAGGTCAATAAATAATTTTGTTATTATATGTATCGTCGTTTTCGTAATTTACATCAATTACGCAACAATTTGGTTTACTATAACAAGATAAATGCTATCTACATTGAATAGATATTTAATATAGATATATGTATTTTAGTGAATGTACATTTTATTAGTATCGTTGGGCAAGTTATAAAAATAAGTATGATGACATTTATTTGGATATAGTTTACATAAACTTTATATTATATATGTACTTAATATTATTATGTATACATTTATTTACAATAAAATTTATTACAATATTAACGCGTTACATAATTTGGACGTACAAAATTTTACAAAAAAGTTTAATTTCAAGGTAGCTGAAAAATCAATAAAATTTGGAATTAATTTGATTTATTTTCATATTTGATAATTAGAACGGGATGCTAATAGGAGAGACCGGGGTCAAAAATTATACGAATAAGCTGTAAAACTTATATAAAGAACGTTATAAACAAAATATAAAAGTGTCAGGAAGGATAGAAGTTTATAATATATTTATTTACAAACTTCTATCTCTTTCTTACACTTGCATATTTTGTTTATAACATTTTTTTATATAAGTGTTATAACTTTTACTTTTAATCGCATACAGTCTGATTAAATAAAACTTAAAATTAATTTAAAATTTTTATATTTAACTCTGTGTCTTATATTTAACTGATGTGTTAATTCCTACCTGTTTATATTTATCGTCCTACCTATATAGTCCCTATCCATACTTATTGTTCTACCTATCCGCATTTTTATTTATTTATGCTTATTCAGGTACACCTATCTCCACTCGTGTATTGCTACTTGCATTACCTACTTCATAAGTATGCAATAACATCGCGAATATATGTAATAAGTTAATGGTTGCATTCATCAAAGTAGCTTTTCAATTATAATAAAAAATTCTTTAAAACAATAGATTTTTACTTTGGTTCCTTATGGATTTAAATGTATAAATCAATCATATTGAAGAATTTTACAACAGTTGCAAAACTGCTTTTTCTACTGAATGCAGCCTAATGCCTAACCGTCTTCTATTGTATGCTGATAAATTCAGCGGAATGACCTAATCACGATCATAATAATAATAAATAAGTAATAAACAGTAATTATTAACAGACTTTCAATCTTTAAAATACAAAAAAAAAATTAACAAACAACAGGGCTAATGAGAGTTAACACGGATAACCATACGTAAATTTTGCAGATTAAAAAAGTCTACAAAATTTTCGCTTAATTATTTGCGCTGACTCTCATTAACCCTGTTGTTGATTATTTTTGTATTTTAAATAAGCAACATTTCAAAAAAAATATAAGAACTCGCAATTTGCGAGCAAATTACCCTCCCGAATATTCAATTTATCTTTATACATTGGGAAAACAAATTTGTTTAACTAATTATACACATCAACCTTCGTATACTCTTCTTTCTTCTGGCCAGATTGAACTCACTTTTCATTGCTCCTGGCCAACATGGCTTCATATGCCAGAAATCGACAACAAGGAGAAATACTCCTTTTTGCTGCCGACTGCTGCCGATTGCTGCCGACTAATCGTCAGCAATAAGCATAAGATTTTACGCTTTTGTAACTCAAGCACTTTACGATGCGCGAAACACAAATGCGTCGCGAAGAGACCATAATATTAATAAAATTGACTTATAGATATTAATATGAATAATTATCAATCAATAATAATAATAATAATAATAATAATTTTATTAATATTACGAATAAATGTCGTTTATTCTCTATACTCGTTTATTCGAAACATATAAATATTAGGACTAAAAATAAATTTAAATAAAAAAAATATTTAAGTCACCAACGTTTTGATTTTAAAAGTTTCGAATATTATAAAACTAGATTCAATTTCTTAATATAAACATTATAATATAAAGAACAAAACTTTAATTTAAAAATAAATTGAAAATGGCTAAATTGATTATCATCCGATAATTCAAGGCTCATATAGTATTTTTAACGATTCGAACAATTCGTTGCTGAATCTGATCTCAAAGCATACGGAGATAAAAAATTCAGATAAATGATGTAAGATCCAAAAGGAATCATTTTCCCTTGCATCAATAAATATATCTCTTTGTATTTTATAAATTATTAGAATTATTTTTGTATAATTTATTATTTTAATATTAAATATTTTAAATTATGTAAAATTCTAAACGCGATTTTAAAATAATTATGACATAAAATTCTTTTATTTCTTGGTAAAATGTATATTTTGGATCTTACATCATGTTACTACTTTAACTGATATAAAATCCAGTTATTACATATGGATAAGTTATAAAAGATCAAGCTAAACTCAATGCATTGAAATAAACAATGATAATTAATATAATATGTATACAAATAAGTGTAAAACAATAAAAGGAATTTTTTAAGGAAATTAAACTTTTGATATATATGATATATATAGTGCCTAATAATGCAAAGAATTATTAATGTATTGTAAAAAAAACAAAATATTGTTAACAATTATTAAAACATTTAACACATAAAGTATAGTATTTCAAAAATTTTCCGCTTTTTTTATCGCAAAAGTTATATTAATAAAAAAAAGATACATTAAAAAGATACATTAATATCTACTTATAAATTATTCATGATATTGCCAGGGAAACGATGAATGACACAGTTTTATCTTGTGACAGCAAGCGATTGCAAGCGTAGTGTAGTAGCGGAATAGTAATTAAATGATACCAAATACACGCTCTGATCTTGTTGCTCTTTTATCATAATAGGAATCAATGCATGCACGAATTGATCGCGCGTTTTACAATTCCTTACTAGTCCCAATGTCAAGCGCAGATTACGATTGACGTCATTTACGCCGCACAAGTGCTCGGAATATTATTATACCTGCGCTATCCGTAATATAGTGTGATTGCATTATGGGAGTTTTAATTTTGTGTTGCATATCCAATTGTAATATTTTCTTTCGTTTGATATAATCAGTTGCTCGCGTTTTGTGATTACTAAAGTGAGTGAACTGCATACAATATCACTCAAAAGATTGTAATTGTAAATCATTCATTTATCATATTTTATTTTCTCACGATTGCTTTTAGAATTTTGCAAAATTTAGATCGTTGTATAGTTTGATAAATAATTATTTGACTTTGAAAAATTCTAAGAGTATTAAATATTCTCTGCCTGCAAAATTGCATAATGCATCTATAATTGAATTAATTTTTGTTTATACATCTCTTGGTCTTGTGTCTTGATCTCTATTTAAAAAATAGAAGCCAATTGATATAGGTAAATACATATGTTAGAATTGTTGATCAAGAAATATAAAGTATGTTTTTATCATAAATTTTAATTTTGAACTTGAATTAATTAAAAACTGTAATTTTGCAAAAAAAAATATTTGAGATGTATCAAGACATCCAATATTTTACTTCAATATTTTTATGCATCGTTATATTTTTACAGCAAGTGATAATTAAGTACTCCAAAAGATTTTAAAGGGTGATTCCTCAGATTAATTTAAGATGGGGGGGAAACTTTATATCATTATATATATCCAAAACAGCATAATTTCAAGGATACAAAATTAAAAGACAAATTTGATTTTTTTTCTAAAAAAAACTTCGAAAACTACAAGCTATTTTGATGAACTATGCATAAAGTTTCATCAAAATAATCCGAATTAGTTTTGAAATTTATGGAAAAAAAACTTATTTAGAAAAAATTTTTTGTTCAATTTTAACACCTTGTATTTTTAAAATTAAGCTGTTGAAATATATATAATAGTTAGGTCATATCAAGTTTTCGGCTTTATCTAATATGAAAAATTACTCCTTAAAACCTTTTAGAGTACTTAATTATCACCTTATATAGAATAGAAAAAAGTTTTTTTTAGAAAAAAATAATTCTTACTACATTTTTGTTATATATTTTTGTTACAATTACTTTTTTTAATCTTATAAATAATCTAATTCAAGACCAATTTGAAAAGTTGCATACTATAATGTGATTGAATAATACAAAATATCTTAAATAATTATTTACTCTAGGCTGAAATTAACTAATTTCTGTGTTATATATTTTAAAAACGATAAATAAATGTTGTGGGTTGAAAGAAATAAAGTTATACCTAAAAGCAATACTTTTATCAAGCAAGCATGGATGATAAAAGTTTCGGAGAAATCACCGCGCTTGAAGACTACATTAAAGAGTTTAAAATTGTATTGTATACATTCCAGTGTAAACAGTTTAAAATATCTTGTCGATTCTCAAAGACCTTGGTTTGAAAGGTAAACTCAATCAAAATCACATTTATTTACAGTA